TTTTTTGGCCATCTACAGGTGGATTTTGGGAGACGGGTGATTGTCAACGCGTAACAGCGTGAAGAATAGACGGGTTATTGTCAACGTTGCGTTGTACAATAGACGGGTGTGTTCCAAAATCAAAAGGCCTCAGCATTTGTGTCATGCAAGGCCGAAACAACCTACCTCGTGTGCAAACTCTGGGCAGGGTAGTGCCTAGAAGAAAGCCGGTAACCTGACTTAGACCTGTTCGAGCATTGTCGAAAACTGATTTGTTTGGTTGCTGATACTGCGAGCAAGGCATGCAAACACGCAAACACTATTGCCACCTTTAGAACATTTTAGAAGTCCATCACCAACTCTTTGGTTTGCCTCTGTATCCACAAGTGGATCAACTCGGGTGATGGGTGCCCAGCGTGAGAAGCTGAACACGCTGGAAGCCCTGAAAGGCAAGCTAAAGAACAACGAACAAACAAGTCTTCTCAGCTTGAAACATTGGTTTCAACAGCATTTTCTATTGGGACTTCAGATCTTCAGTTCTCCACTTCAGTTCTTCGTTCTTTAGCTCGATATGTCTCATGCGATCGCTGCGTGAGCGAAGCGATTTTGTCAGGCTCTCCCATCACCAAGCCGCAGCCGCCCAAGCGGCAGCCTCTCGGCTTGTCCAGACTTGGGGTGATGGGAACCTGACCTGCCGCTACTAGGAGCAAGAACGCTACTTCCTGGCATCGCTACTAGTAGCAAGGACGTAGCAAGAAGCTACGAACGGAGCCAAGGGCATCGCTACGAACGGAGCGTTCGAACGCTACGACCGGGGGCTCCCAACATCTTCGTTCCCACTCGCATCGGTCCGCGTCGATGTCATGCTGGACACTCTGGTCCACGCAGATCCCCGGTCCCCGAAGATCACACAATCGGCCATCGGGATGGCCCACGTCTCAAGGCGGCGATCAGCGCCAAAGAAGTGAGCCAACAAGATGAGTCTGACAACATCTTACAACCTTTGTCACTATCTGGCAAGGGCGGCGTCACCATCTTTCTTTGTCCTAAATCACCAGGATGAACAAGAAATGGATATGTCTCATCATCAAATATCTCCCAAATACATCCAAATACCCAGTGAAAGTCACCTGGCCACAGCACTGGACACAGCACTTCACTGCTTCTTCCGCGCTTTCGCGCCGGCGAACGCGGCGACGCCTAGAGGCGGATGACGGCGATCTCCTCGCTCCGTCGAGGACGAGTCTCTTGGCTCGCGAGGTCGGACCAAACGAGGCCATCGTGCGGAACCATTCGTGCGTGACCTATCTGGTTATTTCGAGCAAGGAGCTTCCTTTTGCAAGGATCGAAGAAGTTTGTCCCTTACTTAATCAAGATTAATTAAGTAGGCGCCTAATTGCCTAACTAAGGGCGCCCCGCGGGCGCCCCCCCAAAAAAAGGAACAACAAAACCCGAGAATACATGAGCGAAAAGAAACCTCTTCGGTTGATCGCTTTGCCCTGAAGAGTGTCCTCCTCATCCTTCATGCCTGCCAGGAAAGTGACATGCTTCGGGCAGCCCCGCCGAAGCACACCCAATGGTACCAAGTACCCCGACACCTTTGGCATATTCTTGTCAGGACACACACACACAATACAGGTGCACCACATGAGCTAATGAATGTAAATGAGCATGGATGCATGATGAATATCACCGGGGCAAGAATTCTAGATTCGCAGTACGTGTTGCTCCGCCACGGTTGGCACTTTACCTTTTGCAATTCACCAAATCAAAGAGCAAATCTGTTGCTGGCAACACATCTCATCGCGTTTCGACTCGACTTCCCCATCGCTACACCGGAACACCGACCAAATCCACCGCCGCACCGACCTGACTTGTCACGATAAATGCCCACAATCTCAACGAACCTGGGGCGAATGGGGCCGTCGACGTGCGAACAGTTGGTCGTCCTTCTGAACCGAGCGAACAGTTGAGCGCATTCGATCAAGAGAAGCGAGCCCTTCAAAGGGGATCGGAATTGGAACGGCGAAGTCTTCCTGGCCTTTAGTTTTATATGGTTTTTCCTGGCCAGCTCGAGACTTCCTCTCTTGACCCACGCTAGGGCCGCAGGGCCCCGCAGATGTTGCTCACTCTGGGCCACGCACCTCTCTGGTGAGCCATCCACCTTGGTCAAGAACTTGTCCAAGGCCTCGCCGTGTTGGAGGCCATCGAAGCAAAGAAACAAGAAAAGGAAGGCCAAGGACGCTACTTTGCTTCTAGGAGCGATCGGACGCTACTAGGAACAAGTGCATCGCTTCTAGTA